CATCTGTCTATCGATCATCTATCCGTCCGTCCATCCATCTAGCTAGCTATCTATCCGCTATCTATCCATCTCTCTGCCTACCTACCTACCTACCTACCTCCCTACCTACCTACCTGCCTGCCTGCCTACCTACCTACCTACCTACCTACCTACCTACCTACCTACCTACCTGCCTCCCTGCCTACCTGCCCACCTGCCTACCTGCCTGCCTGCCTGCCTGCCTGCCTGCCTACCGACCTACCGACCTACCAACTTACCTACTGACCCATACCTTCCTGCCCACCTGCCTACCTTCTGCTGCTACTACTACTACTACTGCTACTACTGCTACCACTACTGCTACTGCTGCTACTACTACTACTACTACTGCTACTACTATGACAACTACAACTACGACGACGACTACTACTACTACTACGACGACAACAACTACTACTACTTCTACTACTACTACTACGACGACGACGACTACTACTACTACTACTAGTACTATTACTAGTACTAGTACTAGCACTAGTACTAGCACTAGTACTGCTATTCCTACTACTACTACTACTACTACTACTACTACTACTACTACTGCTCCTCCTGCTGCTGACGCTGCTGCTGCTACTACTGCTACTACTGCTACTACGGCTACGACGACGACCACCTCGCTACTACTGCTGCTCCTGCTACCACTGCTTCTTCCCGCCGCTCCGTCTGACTGGTGCTACTGTTGCCATTTCATACTACGAGGACGACTCAGCCGAAGCTTTGAGGCCGTAGCCCCAGGCTTCAGGTTTAAAGCCAACCGTCCCGCTCGTGCCGACAGGAGCGGCCGGCAGAGGCGAAGTGCTCCTCACTAGATGGGCCCCAATGCTTCTTTGCAGTGGACGGCGCCTCTTCATCGCAAGTTTGGAGCTGGCGGAGGATTCCAGGTTCCATTCGTTAGACGTTTCGGGGGGGAGGCTTAGGGGCGGGGGCGCTTTCCTCATTTGTCACTCGGGGTCGGTTTGGCATGAGCGCCTGAAAGTTCGGAGACTCGTTGGATTTCGTTGTGTTTCGATGCCTGGGTCTGTAACTGGAAGCTTCCTTACACGCCTGTGGGCGTCGGTTTCGGGGCTTGGGTCTCGGGTGGCTGCTTTGCAAAGCTAGAGGTAGGGAATCCCAATCCGCTCAACCCAAACCGATTGCAGACTAGACTCAGAGAAGATTCGATTTCCATAAACCTGCACGGCCTGAGGGATTTGCAGGTTCTTACTGAGAGATCTAGGAACCAGAAAGCCATGAAATGACGCCTGGAGGAAGGAGACTACAAACCTCAATCGTTAAAGTGCCACCCAGGTGCAGGGCTATCATTGGATGGACCGGGAGTGATCCCAGCTTCCTGGCAAAAAAAGACTGGAACAGGTTCGCAGTGTTTGAGACCTCTTTGCACACCTGATATTGAGAGATGTAAACTTCACCTGTTGCCAAAGATCCCACAAATCCGACACTCTCCACTACCAGGAGAGACTGCTGCACGATCTTGGAGTCGACGGGCCGGGTGTTGACTTCATGACACCCGAGCACCAAGGAGGCAGCAACGTCCTCGTGGATCCGCTAGAGCGCTTTTGTGCTGTGTTAGACTGTCTGCTGGAGAGCTCCTTTGATTCAACGCTGAACGTGTAACTGAAAAGCGCTAAGCCTCGTAGAGTAAAGGCACATACATATAAGCCCCGGCTTTGGGACGTGCTGTGTAGTTGTGAGGGTCGTAGGAGGAAACGACGAATCATCGTAAGGTACATGATCCTGGAAGCGCAAGTGCGTCAAGGATCTCTTGTGCCGCTTGGCTGTTCAGGGCTCAGGTGCTGTGATTAGTCCTTCTGTCGCATGTGCAGGGTCGTGATTTCGGGTGTAACCGTACATGCCTGACAGTTCCGCACATTGTTCCTACAACTTTGAGCTCCAGAAAAGCCTTCAAAAGCAACATAAAATGAGAGAGCAGGCTCCCCGTCTAGGGTTCTCGCTTAACGAAGCCTCGATAAGGAATCCGGTATATTGAAAGAAAACTTTCGGCATCTGGGCGGTTGGGGCTTTGAGAAGTTGGGATATGTTGGGTTGTCGTGTCTCAGGCAAGAGCTGTCAAACGAGCCCCCACTTCTTGGCGGTGCATCAGCACGGGACTTCCTGGCGCACGGCCGCAATGCAACAGAAACAGGAGTCTGCTCACTGGATGACGCTGTTGTAACCCAATGCAATGCAGGATATTGTGATCTATTGTGATGCAATGCTGCTAATGTGGTGTGATGCAGTGTCATGTACATCTCAACGTAACGTAGCCTACTGCAATGCAATGTAGTGCAGTTCGAGGTGGTGTGTCGTGCTGTATGTAAAATCAGCGAAAAGACATGCAGTGTAATGTAATGTAATGCAATGCAATGTAACGTGATGTAAGTGACAAAGGTGAGAACATGTGTATAGGTACTTAAGTACATAGTTATGTATGTTCGTATGTACGTATGTAGTGTAGATGTAAATGCGCATGCACATGTGCATGTACATGTGTATGTACATGTACATGTACATGTGTGTGTGTGTGTATATGACCTTGCCCTGAGTGTGATTTGGGAAGCTGGCACTGCTGTCTCGCACCGATCACGGTACGCACGAGCACGGCCTCAAAATGCAAAGAACGACGGCCCAACCGAAGTCGAAAACAGCTCTGTGCCCTGCATACCAGGGCCCGCCAAAAGAGCAGTGCTGTGACTGCGACCTGCCCGGCTAGTGATGACACGGCTACTCGAGCAAAGCATCTAGCAACGACTGGATCTCACGCTCGTTTCCAGATCTCGGAGCAATTCCTCGTTTGATCTATGCTCCCATGCCCTCTGCTCGCCCTTGGAGCTAGCACTTCAGAGATGCGTGAGTGAATGAATGAATGAATGAATGAATGAATGAATGAATGAATGAATGAATGAATGAATGAACAAACGAACGAACGAATGAATGAATGAATGAATGGATGTGTGTGTGTGTGTGTGTTTATGTATATGTGTATGTATGCATGTACATATGTATGATTATGTGTATATGTAGGTGTCCATATATGTGTATATTTAGGTGCATGTGTGCACGTGTACTTGTATGTACGCATGAACGGTATTGTACGATATTCCATGAAGCGGCATTTTGTTGAATGGTGGGTTCAGTTTGTTTCTTGGATTGCGTGTCTGAGTATGTGTATGTATTTGTCTATGTATGTATGCATGCATGGATTAGTCAAATTGAATGAATTGGTGTATGTATGAGTACATGTGCGCATACCCACATACATACAGACCTACAATACTACATACATGGATACATACATACATACATACATACATACATACATACCATGCATACATACATACCATGCAAACATATATACCATGAACATGGTTCTAGATGTTTGTTTAGATAGGTATTGAGTCACCTACATATTTGTCTGTGCTGTAATGTAATTACATGCTCTGTTAAGTTATGCGATGCAATGCTGCGATGCTGTGCTACTTACTGTACACATGTCGGATCTGCGTGCTTACAGGATGCGTCGGGTTCAAGGGTTTGGGGTTAAGGGGTACTGCCTCAAAATGCATTGCAGCCTGCCACAACCGCCAGCAGTCATAATTGATGTTTTCAAACAATCAAGGCGGCTTCAATGGTGATGCCCCCCACCTCCAGAAGCCCGAAGCCCTAAACCGAGGAAGCGGCGTGCATCTTCACAGAGCCTACACAAACCTGAAAAGTTCAGGGAAACCCTCCACCCATGTGCACTGACGGACGCAGGTACTAGACGACTCGCTCTGGGACTCTGGGGCTGCCTGCAACCGTAGAAGGAGGTTCCCAGCCTCAAGCAGCAGCTGCCACACCTTACAAACTCCCGAACTCTAAACCTTCACCTCTCCCTCCCCTCCCCCCCCTCTCCCCTCCCCTCCCACCCAACAAGAAACCAAGCAATCCCATTCCTCGGTAGAACACAACTGCATCGTCCATGCGGAGGACTGCTCCACTTCACAGGGGCACAGCTCGATCACCGACTGAGACTCGACTGTCGTTTTGGGATTCAGGACGCCTAAGAAACCCCAAACCCTGACCTTGCAACGCAAAGAACCGTCGGCTTTGCTAGCCAAAAAAGCCTGCGTCTGCAAATATAGAGGTTTTGAGGTCTTGCATTCGTGGCGAAGTTTTGGGCTGTATGTTGGTTCGGGACCAAGGAAGTTGGAGCTGGGCTCACGGTTTATGAGACGTACGGAACACTTATCAGCCTTTTGATTCTCAGGGTCTCAATGTCTCTGTGTTCGTCGGCTGTCAGAGGTATGGGTGAAGATTGAGGTTGTCGAGCCTTTGGGGTACGTTGGGAAGCTTGGATCTTGGTCTTCGTGGTTTGGGAGGTTGGATGCTGGGTGTTGGGGGGTGGAGCAGGCCTTGAGATTCAGACTTTGGGACTGGAATGAACAGGATTTCAGCTTGACACCCCCAACCCCCAGCCCTAGAGCCGCAAGCAGTAGTAGCAAAGCGTGTCCGAGTCCTGAGTTCCGAGAGCCACTTACGCGTCTTGCCACACTGTGTCGGGGAATCTTCGGGATGTTCTTTTCGGGGACGTTTTCACCAAGGCACCAAGGCCCGAGTTGGGGGGGCTTGCAAAGAGCCAAATACGACGACCAGGACGTCGCATCATCACATGTAGCTTGTGGTACAAGCCCGGTGCTGTTTACCAGCTTTGTTTTTAACGGGTTTAGTATCGTAGCCGCCATATCAAGGGTTAAGCCCCGGCCCGGGCCCTGGCCAATTTGGGCCGTGGCTGAACGTCAGCCCTCAGCCTGAGCCACTCGCATCGCTTTACGGCGCTTCGGAGGCCCGTGACCTTCTCCCAGGGGCTCCCGGGGAACATTGTAGCGACCTTCGATGGGCGCTGGATCGCAAGAGATTGTGCTTGGGCGCAGTTAACCTGCTTTGCTTAGCCCTCGATCTCTTGGGCTCATCATTTGTGCAACTAAGCTATTTCTTCTGGAAGGTATGTGTTCAGGCTGAGAACAGAGCGAAAGTATTTTGAGTTTTTTTGCATGACTTGGAAATATTGTGCATGATTTGGAAGTAGTTGGCAGTCTGCTTCAAACTTGATTGCCTAATTAGGTCAGAAGCTGGCCACGGGCTGAGGGTTTTGGGTTTTTTGTGGGTGTCCAAGGCCTGTAAACCCTGAGCCTGTAAATTAGCATAAACACTAAAACCTTAAAAAAGAAAGCCGGCTTTGGGCTAAGATTTTTGTTTTTTTGGCGGGAGTCCGAGGCCTGCAAACCCTCGGCTTGCAAAGTACGCTGGGAGTTTTGGGCTTAGGGTGGGAGTCAAGGCCTGCGACCCTCAGCCTGCAAATTGCCGGAAGGTTTGTGGTTTAGGGTCGAAGAGACTAGGTTTTGAGCCCCGACTGGGGCTGGATTCATGAAGCCACATGTCACTTAGAGATACCCGAAGCCAACCGAATAAGGAGAGCACCTACCCGAAACTACAGCAATCTACCAAAATCGACCCGAAGCTACGAAAACCTGCCCAAAACTACTTAAAACTACCGAAGGCGTCCCAAACTTCGAGAAGATTCCAAAAAGCAACCGAAAACTACACAAACTTGCAAAAACTTCCGGGTGCTTCGCCCAACAATTTCCCAAATCTGCAACATATCCACAAACTTCCAACAACTGCCAATCTGGTTTGCGAATCTCCCACGTGACCCGTATCCTGGGGAAGGAAATGCAGGCTTTTTGTCGGTACGAACATGAGTCGGACTGCAACGCAGTGTTGTCGGGCCGAAAAAGCAGCAACAATTCAAATGGCATGGAGCCGCAGTGGAGCTTCAATTTTGTGAGCCCTGCCATGCTCTTAGTACCACGGGGCTGCACCAGTATAATCCCTTGCATATATAAATAAAATATTCATGCCTTTACCGTAGGAAAGCCTTCAGAAACTGCTGGTTTGTTCTGGTAGGTTTGGGCAGGTTTTGGGAGTTTACGGAGGGTTATGTAGAGTCTAGATTTTTCGGGAAGGTTTTAGAATGTTTGTGAAGTTTTCAAGCAATTCGGGCATGATTATGAAGAGCTTTGAAGTTTTTTGCCCTGCCTAGAAAGGCCGTTCTGAAGCGCTGAGAAGAGCTCATACTGTGATTGGGGCCGGTACAGTGAAAATACAAGTTGAAGGTTGCGTCCCTGCAGCTTTGGCATTGAGGCTTCTGGGACGTTTTGTTGCTGCGTATAACAGTTGCTCCTGCCTTCCAGAGTCTGCATGCTTTTTTTGAGAGTTAGGGTGTATATTATATCGCTTATATCTTTTCGTATCACGGCTTCTGAACCAAGTTTCTATCAAGCTGGAGTCATGCCGCTTCGCACTGCATGATGCCTAAGATGAAAGCTCTTTCCGAGAAATCCCTGCCTGGGCTGGTTCACAGGATTCGCAGGAAAGCCTGAAAGCATCGCACAAAGGAAAAGCTGTGTTGCCAAGCTGCTCCTGAGCCCAACACACAGCGTTTACTTCAGCAGGGCAGCGTGTGACAGATGATTTATTATTTAACATCCAGGAATTTATTGCCGCAATGGTCATACGCCATAGGCATATTCATGTGAGACGCCACTGCAGCAGGCGTCAGCGCAGCTCGAGATTTCGTGTTTTAGGTGCAAGATGGGTCAGCAAGGTCGTACACACCAAGCGTTCCCCCTTGCAGCTCCACTCAAAACCTGGCAAACTTCTAGTCCTTCCCAGCTGGGAAGACCCATAGCAAGTAGTTCAAACTCGATAAACTAAGCAGTCCAGCGCAGTGTTGCAGGGAGAATGCCCTCAAGATCAGAAATGGAAATGCTAGTAGCGGCTAGTAGATGCGATAGATATGCTGGTCAGGCTGAGGAATTAGTTGTCCAATGCCGCCACATGTCGCGGTACATCGTCAGCAGCTGTAGCAGCAGCTGCAGCCACACCAACTCACGAACATCCTCGTCAAATTATGTTCGTACTGCCCAACGCGAGTCCCAACGGCAGCTCGTGCCCAAGGTCACTCAGCGGGTCGTGCTGTCGCAGGTGCACAAAGTTCTATCGGGCTGCCCACGGGGCCGTCGGTTTGGTCCGTGCATTGTCATACTTTGATGTCGCTCATTTCGAGTTGAAGCTCGATGCGAGCCCGTAGTTTTCACACCTTTATCTTTGAATTTTCTGAGTGTGGTTGAGTCAGTTCTATGATATGCGGCTCTTTGAAGTAGTGGATTCGAGAACTGGCGCTGAGCATCCTTGTGCTGGGAGGCCTTCCCCAGTCTGCAGCCGACGGCGCCCTGGCCGCTTGGAACTGACAGGTACACGGCATGAGTCGGGACTGAGGGTCTGCAAATGTCTGCAGCTTCGTTCGGGGTTTGTTGATTTGTTTGTAGGGCTGGTAGGGACTTTCGGTTGACATAGCAAACTGCAGCTATCCCATGTTGCACTCTCGATGCCTGAAGTTTGGGTGCGTCGTGAGGTGTTGTTCGACTCTGTACTCATACCCACCCTTGCTGCCGTGGCAAACGCATAGTGCTAGTACCTTGTCCCACCTCTTCAGGCCAGCCCAAGACATACTGGATACAGCGGTGCCAGATAGTTTTCTCAGTTTGGGATGTTGGGGCACTCATTGCGGATTGTTTGCGGGTGTAGATATGGCCTTGGGTCCTTAGGGTACAGAGATCAGGGTTTGGAGCTGATTGACGTCTGGCCATGCCTGGTATGGGCCATACTCTCCAAGGCCTGGCCGTCGCAGCCCAAAAGGAAGCTCCGAACCCCGAATTTGAGACACTCGAACTTACTTTCAGCACGCCTTGCAATCTTTCCAGCTCTCGACCTCAGGCTTTTCCCTCGCAAAATGCGGTCGGCCTTCCCAGCCCTGAGGCCCTCACCCGAATTTGTGTTTGCTTGCGTGATGTTGGTGGGAGATCGTTTCTTAGGTTGTCGCGAGATTGCATGGCATGCAGGTTGTCTTATGTTTGTTTGGCCCTGAGGTTTTCTGGAGGTTGTCCCACGATGCAAGGTAAGTACTACTTCTAATGCATTGGCCGCAGTATGCTCTCGTCCGGTAAGCACCATTCAGGTATAAATTAAAGAAACATTGGTGACAACCTTCTCGGTGTGACCGGTGTATCGGGATCCACCGGTAGGCACGATCCAACACATTGGCCTCACGGAACGCCGGTGTCTTCGAGCGTTGCGTGTGTGGAAGTGGTGCCGCTTCGATCTTGGCCTGGGACTGCTTGTATCCCGCCAGTGTATTTACTTGGGCAAAAAAGATGTTGGTCATGTCTCCGAATCCCGCCAGTACATCGGGGAAGCATGTTGGCCGTGCTCCTGAATGTCGTCCAGCCAGCTCATGTGTGGAAGATCCTCCGGTAAGCGCGATCCATTGTAAATTCCAATACATGGCCCGTATCTTGGGTCGACATGTTGAAGCGGTCTCGTTGGACATGGCGTGTCCGGGCGCTGCACGTTTAACTCCTGCCAATACTTGGGTGACGTAATTTTTGCTGTGCTCCTGTTTTGGTCGTGTGTTACACGCGAAGCAGCATAGCAGGATGCTCGCGAGCAGCAGTGCCTGGGCAGCTTTTGTTACAGGCTTTGATTGGCTTCGGGTTGTATTTGAGGTCAGGGAGTCTCAAGTTGTCGGGTCGCGTGCTTAGCAGCTTTTTTTAGCACACTTTGGCTCAGATTTGGGTTTTTGAGTCTGCGAAGTTTGAGGTTGCTGGACTCCAGGCTTTCCAGTTCAGCCTGAGGGTTGAAGGTTTGGTGGTTACGGCTCAGACTCGCCCTCTCAGCCGGATCCTTCAGCAGCGCACTTTCGTTTGAAACACTCGTTAAACTGAAGCTCATTCCGACGCCCTTGAATCCTCAAGCCTGAATTTGCTATGAGGTACACGGTCGCAGTTCAGGGCTGCATATGTTCACAGCTGCCCGAGGCTCTCCGTCTCAGCAGAGCTGGCTGGATCCATCGGACCTCCGACAGATGTTTCTGAAGGTAGTGTGTAATTTGGGCATAGCAGGTACAGGCACATGTACAAACCTGCGTACAATTATGGGTACGAGCGAGAGCAGATTGCGTTTTCGGTTCTCCCGGATGCGTGGGTGGGTTGGTTTGGGATTCTGAACCCGTGTCTTTGTGGGCATGTTTGGCTTCACTCAATCAGCCTGCAGTGCGTTTGTGGAGGGGGGTTTGGTTGCAGAGCGAGTGCACTAGTTCACTAGGTTGTTTTTCAGCCAGAACTAGGTTATTAGGCTCCAGTTGCGAGAGAGTTTTATGCCAAGTTGCGAAATCCTACAAGCCTTTCAAAGGATGCCCAAACCAACCTCATGCTCGGTAATGGGTTTCCAGTCTTGAAGATGTAGAGACTTAAGTAGGGCCTCAAGGATCAAGAGTCTGGGACTGTTGGTGCATTTCATAGACCTTCGGCAAGTCGGCAACAGGCTTAAAGTAAGACGGCACCCCCTCCTTAACTGGACTCAGGGTACCTCCGCTTCTCGCGACCTGTGTCGGTGCGCTCGCTCTTCGCGCGCTGGGCGCCGGGCCCCGGAGCTCCCAAGGCGCCACCTGCTTCTGCTCCAGCGGTCGTCTTTTTCCCGCCCTCTGAGAAGTGAGAAGTGCGATTGGAAGGTGTTTGCCTGGAATTTGTTTGGATTCCAAGATGCCCGATCCGGGATGAACGGATTGGACTGCGAACTGCTGCGGCACATAGGGCCTCCGGGTTGTTGACTTGGCCCTGGCGAGATTCGGACATGTTCGAGCCAGGATTCGAATCTCTCAACCACAGAATGTTCCCACCCTGAAATCAGCTTCTGCAATCACCTCTGATATATCAGACTCAACTTGTTTTAAACGCTCCCTCTGTCATACGCAACAAGCTACAAGCTCTCAGAACGAAGACAAGAGGGGGCCCAATCAATCCTTGTTGAAAGGCATTGATCGGTGGTCGCCTGGGACTCTTTGCTTGATCCAGGCTCACAGAGCTTGTGAGGCTGATCCCAGAACGCACACTAAGACCTGACCGTATTGCAGCTGTAATCTGCAGTTCGCAAGTGCACCATCAGGTTCGTATTAGCTTACGCCTTGCAGACTCAAGACACCTACATTGCAATTGGATGTGCAACCTGTCCTTCCGAGAGACCCGGACTTTCCGGGTACTGTAGCCTTTCCAAAAATTTGGAGGTTGCTGTGCTGCAGAGCGGTTCGTTGAGGCCAACAGTAGCCAATCCCTTGTCGGGAAGCTCGCTGAGCAGTCGCCCTTTGTGTGCTATGAAGGTCGTGCAATACATAGGTTGGCTCCAAAGACAGTTGGCTTTAATGAAGATATCTGTAACATCTTCCTTGTAATCTTGAGATATCGCGCCTCACGATTATTTTCTGAGTTGGTTCACTTGATCGATAATATGGCGCATTGCCAGTGGCGCCTAGCAAGCCTGGCTAACTGTAAAATAGCACAATGCATTTTAGGACAGCCGATGAACTTTGCACGTGAAAAGTTGATCATCTTGCAGTAATCACGGTTGTTTGTGCTTCGTGCGCTCTTCGTACGGGGTGAAGGTGTCCATCAACTGCCGTATGCCTTTTCGTAGTATGAACATTTCATATGCCTTTCAGTTTCCGAAGCCCCGGCTCACTAAAACCCTGAAGCCCGAAAATGTCCTCAAGAACTTAGGAACCCCTCAATACAAACCCTGATTGCAGCGGAGCCTTCAGAACCCAAAGTCCTACTCAGCCAATAGCTGAGTACGTTGCAACACTAAGTCTGTCACGTAGCCACGCACAGCCTATAATGTAACAATCCGGTCTGCACCAAGCATGTCAGCTCTATGAAGCTGAGGGCTTCAGCATGTCTGGACCAGCCACTTAGATCCGCAGAGGCCAGGAGCAAGAACAGAGGGGTAGCGGGGCTTCGGGGTAGGGGTCTATGCTATAGTTACTATTGGTTAAAGGATAGGTTGGAGCTCCAGGTTTTCTGTTGACCAGCTTCAGCGTCCAGCTGTTCAACACTCGCTGGTCCATGTCCACATGCGATAGCTGCTTTGCGAATATGGAGCTTCTTACAAACCAGGATCAGTGGCTACGAGTGCAGTACTGACAGACACCTGCAAGGGAGCCATAGTTTCAAACAGCCCATCCATGAGAATTCTGGAGTTCGTGGTAGCAGGACGAGTCATCCAAGCATACTGTCGTCGTCATCACCGTCATCCTCATCATCAACAACACCACTGTCAATGTCTGCATCAGCACTAACATCTGCACTACCATCTTAATCCTCGTTAACAACGACATTTGTATGGCCCCGTTCTTCGTTGATCATCAGGGTTCTTCTCATCCTCAGCGCGATCAATCTCAGGATTAGGGTACCATCGCCCGCGTCCTTTTTATCATCGTTGTTGCCACCACTACAAGTATGGACACCACCACCACCACCAGCACCCCAACGACAACAACAACAAAAACACCAACAACCGGATATTCATCGTCGCCAGTATCATCATTATCGTTATCAACCTCCGCATCACCACAATTATCATCAGGATATCATTACAACCTTAGTTCTACCCTCAACATAATTTTGGCATGGCGACCATATCATAGTTCGTTCATCTGCCTCATCGTGAACTCCATGTCCAGATTGATATTTATCATTATATGTGTTTATCTTTGGTTTCATCAACGATGTCATTGCAATCGCAGTTATCCTCCTTCTTATCATCATCATCATCATCATCCTCTTCATCATCATCGTCATCATCATCATCATCATCAGGAATCATCATCAGGAATCATCATCACCATCATCATTATCACCATCATCATCATCATCATCATCATCATCATCATGAAAGTCGCTCCTTGTCGATTTTTACTTCTTCTGCCCCGCTCCTGCTCATGGCCGTCATCGTTCTTCGGCAGCTTGTCGACTTCGTCGGCTCCTGCAGCAGATCCAGGGATGCACGTCAAGACATGCCAGCAAAGCCTAACCAAGCCCACAGGAGCTCGGATGTCATGTCTATACTATACATTCCAAGCTCTATGGAAGTTATGCGCAAAAGCCCCATCTCCAACTTCTTCCCACCGGAGGCTGCACAGCGATCGCGGTTGGGTAGATATGGGCGGCGGACCACTGGACCAGGTCATCCTTCATTCTCGAGCGGGCTTAAACGCTTTTACTAGTTACTAGTAGGATGCGGGAGGAGGATTGCGCACGCAGGTGAGGAATAACAAACACAGTCTGGCGTTGCACATGAATACGTATGACTGGGTTCGCCATCTTTGATTGTGAACCGAAACAAACAGGAAAACGGACTCACCGCAAATCGCGGCAATGGGGACCTTTTGGCTGTGAAGGTCTTCGGGAGTGTCCTACCAACGTGTGTAGGTAAGTTTAGATCTTGTATCTGGAGCTGTACACCGACAGACCATACATGCGCCGAAGTCATTGTAAACCCTGACTTGGGCAGATTCCGCAGACACCCCCTCTTCTCCCCACCCAACATCCAAGCACGAAGCAGCAAAGCTCATGGGCGGAAACGTCAGAAGTACCACGGCAGATGGACTGCTCTCGCCGGAAGGTGGATGAGCTCGTCTTCGTGGCGGCGCAGGGGCTTCACCTTGGTGCCATTGGGATCGCTCACATAGGGGAGGTGCCATCGGATCATGGATCGCATAGACATGAACAAACACTCTACAGTCTTCCTAGTCTCCTCGATTGTGGCAGACCAGCAAGAAGCTATTTCAGCAAGAGCCGATGACGGCTTTGGGTCGGTTTGGTCGGTCGAGGGGCTCTACGGGTGTCAGTTGTCTAAGCGCACAATCTTGAGTTGATTTATGCTTTGCTGGTGGCAGTCTGAGATAGTCTTATAGGCATGTGGCAATGGTTCCACGTATCCAACACATGATCTCTCAAGCCCTGAACACTAGGGATTGTCAAGGTGTAGAGGTTTATTGTGCATGCGCTACACTGAGAGGGCTTAGGCGGGAGCCGAGAGCCGAGCCCCGAGCTTCCAGAGCACAAAGCGATGAACTTTCCGGAAACCACGAAGCCACACACCAGGCTCTACAACCCAGAAACTCTGGCAGAATTTTGTACGAGTGTACACGAGATACGGCTACAAGTTAACACTAGAAGTTCAAGCCCCGTGGGGCGACAAAGCTACGAACAAGGCATCAACTACATAGCAAGTGAGTGCTTTCAACAGAATACTTCGCAGGGCGAAGACAGTGCGGCCAATGAGGAGAGAGCTATCATGGTGCTGCGTCCCGTGACAGCGGAGGCGCCGGAGGGTGCTTGGTATTTCAGGGTGTGGGGTATCTTTCATCGTGAGCTGGCACCTTCAGTCTTTGAGGGGTGCTGTGGCTCGATGTCGGAATAGGAGCCTCAGTCGCTAGCCATTCCACAGTAGTTCCGTGATCATGGCAGCATAAGATAGCCCAGCCAATCTGCCCTTCAGTCGGACCAGTCATGCCGGGCTACGACTTTACAGACTTACTTTTCAAGTGTGTGTATTCCTACGTCGGTACTGTTTAAGGCTTTCCTCATTGTGTGGGGTCTACGGAGTAATTTGTGTGTGAGTGACTTAGAATATCTACAACTCCTGCCGGCAAAGGGGCTGGCTTGGTGTTGAGCTTCAGAGCCGTCGAGTTTACGTTTTTTTTTGGAGGTTAGCTTCAGGCTTGTTGTGATGCTTCAGAGCATCCAGGCTTGCTTGAGAGGTCTGCGATGTAGCAGCCGAGTGGCTTTAGCACGTTTTTGTCTTAGTCGGACCATTTGCCTTAATGTGAAATAGTTAGTTGCACAAGACTTTACAACAGTCAACTGGCACCAGTGGCAGTTCTCTAGATGCCGACAGCCAGCGCCACCACCCCATGACACGGATAGCAAAGGCAGCCATAGTTCTGCTGAGGAGGAAGATCGCCCACGTTTCGCGCTGATGCTACAGAGGCACAATCCATGACAGTCCGATTTAAGGGGTAACGTACTGATTGCATTTCCTGCCACAGAACCCTCTCCCGATAGCTAGAACTTTTATTGAAGGGAGGGTGAAAGGCATGCATGAATAGGTACACACGTCTGTATTTGTGCCCCTTCGCATGTGCATATTGGCACATGTATGGCCATGCTTGTATAAGCCAACATGCGTGCATGCATGCATACCTACATACGTTCGTATGTCCATTCATTCATTCATTCATTCATTCATTCATTCATTCATTCATTCATTCATGCATACACGCACCCATACGTAACGTATAGACATGCATACAAGCATACATGCATGCAGACATGCAGACATACACACATGCAGGCATGCATATGCAGTCACCTGCCTACATACAGATTTGCGTACATGCACTCGCACATGCACGCATGCACCATTGCATAGATGCATGCATATACACTTTTCCTACCTACCTACCTACCTACCTACCTACCTACTTACCTACCTACCCGCCTACCTGCCTACCTGCCTACCTGCCTACCTGCCTACCTGCCTACCTGCCTACCTGCCTACCTGCCTACCTCCCTGCCTACCTACCTACCTACCTACCTACCTACCTACCTACCTACCTACCCACTTACCTACCCACCTACCCACCTACCCACCTACCCACCTACCCACCTACC